AGGGCAACCCCATGTAGAGCCCATTGCAGTATTCCAGCCTAGAGATCACAAGGGCTCGAGTGACTGTTGTGAGAGCCTCCCGGTTCAGGTAGGGCCGTAACTGGCGGACCAGGCGAACCTGGGCAAATGGCCTCCTGGTCACAGCCGACAACTGATGGTTAAAAGTCAGCTGTGGATCCAGGAGGACTCCTAGATTACGGACCCTATCTGAGGGGTGTAAAATTTGACCCCCCAGCCTGAGAGTTGGGATGTCAGCCAAATTGTTGGGAGGGAAACACAACAGCCACTCGGTCTTATCCGGGTTGAGCACCAGTTTGTTAGCACTCATCCAGTCCTTAACGGCCTCCAGACCCCGGTTCATCACGTCCACCGCTTCATTGAGTTGGCACGGGGCGGACAGATACAATTGTGTATCGTCCGCATATTGATGGTATTTTATCCCGTGCCTCCGAATGATCTCGCCCAGCGGTTTCATGTATATGTTAAATAGTAGCTTCTCAGAGCCTTTTTGGGCTGGGACAGCTATAACAAATCATCACCATCTACCAAACAAATGGCTAAGCCTAAAGCAGTTCAATATACTACTTTCCAGACAAGAGTTTTTAACTGAACTTGCCAGGAAAAATTACACCGCAACTAACTTAATAGCAACATCCAATATTTTGCTTTAGGGCAAGAAAGAAAATTCAAGGCTCCTGCTATTATGCTGTACTATTTAAACACACACACACACACACACAAACACAATGTGTCTTGTTTCTAAAGGCTAGAATAAGTGTATATACGTACTTCATATTTTAGAGTACTCTGTAAGGTTTTAAAGTCTGTATCTTCTATCTCTTTACGTCGAGAAAACATAAACTGAGTTAACAAAGGAAGAACTTAATGTTTTCCATTCAAGAGTTGGGAAATAAAAGATTCATTCCATTAGCTAATATAAAACTGTTTCATCCTGGTTTGGGAGAATGTAATATGTCCTTCATTCTTTGTGTCTTAGGAAGAAACCTTTTTACTCCATGGCCTCCCTCTGTTTAAATCAGGGTGGATTTAATTAAAATCAAGATGATTTAAATCATGATTTAAATCACTGGGCTTGATTGAAATCAACTCGATTTAAATCATAATTTTTAAAGAGCCACTGTCATCTCTGTCCCGCAGCAGCTCCTCCTCTGACCCGCTGTTGACTCACCGGCCGTCCCATTCACTTTAAAGGGACGGCTGGTGATGCGCAGTGACAGGTAATTGGGCAGCAGGTGAGTGGGCTCACAGCCACTGTCATGATGGATCTGAAAAGACAGATGCTCTTTAAATGTAAGGACTCATTCTTGCTGGTAGTTAGAATCTTTAATATTATTATTTGCAAACAAAATGAAGGTTTCCTATTTAGTTTGCAGACCTTGGTTTTCATTGAATGGGTTTTACCAAAAATGTAAATATTGCAGAATATACAGCCTCATGCTACATAACTAAGCTTCATGCTGAATAAACTAAATTATTAATGTATCTTAAATGGAAAGCTATCTAGATAGATTGTTACTCCAAAAGCATTTTATTAAAATAAATTTGATTAAAAAAAATAAAAAAACTGATATTTTTAAATTGATTTAAATAAAAAGAAAATCATTTATTTTTTATCCACCCTGGTTTAAATCACTGTGATTCTATTTCGTTTGTTTTTTAGGCCTACGACATCAAAACCATCAAAATGATTCCAGTTTTCTCTTTTATTTCAACTGCCTCCTTCCCAGCTCATAAATAGCATGGATTTTTTTTAATGCCATTTTCTTTTTTGTCTTCTGTGTTATCTTCTACATCTAAAATGTAGATTTCATGGTCGTATCTATCTATCTATCTATCTATCTATCTATCTATCTATCTATCTATCTATCTATCTATCTATCCAGTGTTTCTCAACCTTGTCAACTTGAAGATGTCTGGACTTCAACTCCCAGAATTCCCCAGCCAGGCTGGGGAATTCTGGGAGTTGAAGTCCAGGAATCTTCAAGTTGACAAGGTTGAGAAACGCTGATCTATATATTTCACACTGATCTCTAAGGCATCACTAATACAAATATTACTATCAACCAACATGTCCATTTATTACCATTCAAGAAAAGAGAAATAATTACCCTTCATCTGTGTGGCAAAAGTGAGTGCCAATTTGGCAAACAGATCCGGATTTTCAAATTTTTCATCCTTAGCTTTTACCCAAAAACAGTGTTCTTGTATTTCATGTGGTTCAACCTGCAATGAAAATGAACCTAATTATAGACTATCAATTTAAATCACTTAACCCTCCACAAATCATGACAGTGGCAGATCATTATGTCTGTACATCCTGCAATCAAAGCAAATTATTCAGAGACTGGAGTTTTCAATCTTCTCCATCAAACGAGAAACGAGGCGGGTTTTTTTTTAAAAAAGGAACAAAAAACATGATTTCCTCCCACCCCCAAAAAATGATAGCAAAAACTGCTTCAATAAAAGTAGGATAGTATCTTATGTTGCGCCTGGCTGATATCTATGGATATTCTCAATCATCCAAGTCATCCTTGTCCCAAATGTGCTTTTTCCAAAAGGCAAATGGATTTTCTTAGGTTTTTTTTTTCCTCTGAAAACATTTTGCTTCTCATTCAAGAAGATTCTTCAGTTCTCAACTGAAGAAACTTCTTGGATGACAAGTGAAATATTTGGGATTACCTATATGATGGTATCAAGCTTGACCTTGAAAGCTGAACAGGACCTATCCTGTTTCCCAAAAAATAAGACTTCCCCGGATAATAAGCCCAATTGGGCTTTTGAGCACATGTGCTAAAATAAGCCTTCCCCAAAAAATAATCCCTCCCTGAAAATATTGTAACACAGCAGCAGCCATAAGGTGACCACCCTTGTCACCTCCTGCAACTCAAAAATAATGACCTCCCCAAAAATAAGGCCAAGTGCTTATTTCAGGGGCCAAAAGAAAATAAGACTGTGTCTTATTTTTGGGAAATACGGTATTTACTAAAGATTGAGGGCAAAAGAAGGAGGGGACGATAGAGAATGAGGTGGCTGGATGGAGTCACTGAAGCAGTCAGCGTGAGTTTAAATGGACCCCAGAGGATGATAGAGGACAGGAAGGCCTGGAGGAATGTTGTCCATGGGTTGACGATGGGTTGGACACGACTTCACAACTAACAACAACAACCTTTTAAATGTATGTATGTAGTGTTTTACTGTTCACAGTTTTATTGTACACAGTCCAGAGTCCCTTTCTGAGGAAGAAAGGTAGTCCAGAAATGTGAGTACAAGTAAAATAAATAAATAGTCCTTCCCATTCGCTTCTCAAAATCTAATCCATTGGAATTAGGTTACTATATTGGACATTACGTTGCAAAAATGAAGATCTAGCCAAACACACTTTTCAGCTCATGTCCAATAGGATAATATTAAGGAGTGTTTATAGAACTGGGCAGAAATTGTGGCGGACTGTTTATTGTGTTGTGTTGTGATCTGCATTCATAATAAATAACACATCTTAGAATGGAATAATCTTCAGAGGTTCCTGTCCTCAACTTACATAATAATTGTGTACATATTATGAGCTTCCTACTGCTCATCTACCACAGCGGAATACATAATAATAAACTGATTTATAGATGCAACTTAAATCATCCAAGCAGAGCGAAGAAGAGCAAATTATTAATAAAAACACAGGCCCTCCCCCAAAAAACCCAGATGCCTTGCAATATCTATTTTATTCTTGGATTTTATTCTCCATATACATGTAACATCTGCAAAATGTATTATGGTATCCCCCACTTTCACCCCACAGAGAAATCCAGATTATTAAAACCAAAATTACATCTCCTGCCCCAACAGACCACTTTAGAGTGCCTGAAACATTTTTTCTATTAAATATGATATTATAAACTAGTTTATGACCACAATGGTTTATGATGAGTTTTTTAAAAATATGTTATTGAATCTGTTACCTTTCGCACCAGAGGGGAAATGGTAGATTATATTTATAGAGATATATATAAAAAGAGACCATGTCTGTCACAACTCTAGGTAAGAGCTTCAATATTATCTCTTGAGAATATCCCCAACCACTGAGAAGGATTAAAGTGTAATACATTTAACGGTTCACAGAAAAACAATTAGCTTCTTTTGTGTATTTGAAATTATTTCATTGGCATGAAGGCATTACAGATTGTCGTCAAATTAACGATGGCAATTGCGACCAGGATTGCTATCATTAAGTGATGAAATCATTAAGCATGATGGTGCATGTGTTGTTTAGTAACAGCAATCCAGATCATCCTGTTTGTTGTTGTAACCACAAGACATGTGGGTTGTTTGGGTTGGTTCCCCTCGTTCCCGCAGTGCTGATCTCCGTTTCAAAGCCGAAGAGCCAGCGTTGTCCGAAGACGTCTCCGTGTTCATGTGACGGGCATGACTCAATGCCGAAGGCCCACAGAATGCTGTTCCCTTCCCACCAAAGGTGGTTCCTATTTTCCTACTTGCATTTTTACATGCTTTTGAACTGCTAGGTTGGCAGAAGCTGGGACAAGTAACGGGAGCTCACTCCATTTCATGATGCTAGGGATTTGAACCGCCGAACTGCCGACCTTTCTGATTGACAAGGTCAGTGCCTTAGCCACTGCCTCCCTTTGTGGGTTGTTTACCAGAAAACAGAAAGAGTCCTAGGTAAGGAGTTTAGGGGTGCTGAAGAATTGGGGGGGTGGAGGACGAGACCCTGGGAGGCTCAGCGCAGGCCACATGCAAGTATGTGGGAAGGAAGAACAAAAAAAAAAGTCCAAGTTAAGTCTATGTATGTGGGTGACCATAGGGAGGCCTTGAAAGGAGGGGAAATGGTGTGTCCATGTTCATGTGTGTGCAAGTGCAGGGAGGCTGGGGGAAGGAGGTGCTTTCTAAGTGGTTTAGAGTCAGTATCGTACCCCCAATAATTTGGGTTCTCATTTTACTGATCTCGGAAGGATGGAAGGCTTGAGTCAACCTTGAGCTGTTCAGATTTGAACTGCTGGAGTGAGCAGTGAGTGTAAGTGGCAAGTATGAGCTGGTTGCCAAGAGCCCGGATATTGTCCACACAGCCTTCGGATGCTGCCCCAGCCAGAACTTTTTGAGGACTTATCTTAACTCACTTACTTAGTGCCATCCTTTAAGCCATCACTGAACAAACGATCATAAACTCAAGGACTATCTGTATTCTGTTTGACATTAGAAAAAAACAAAGGGAAAACATTCAGGAGGTTTGAAGAGAGATACCTTGGCCCAGTTGATTCTCTTCATAGTTACATCTGGGTTGTATTTCTTCTTTGGCTTCATCCCAAAAGGCAGCACTGGCGCGGTTACTACAGAAGGTATCCCCCCAAAAGGAGGAGGTGGGGGCAGTGGTGGACCACCAAACATAGGAGGAGGAGGAGGTGGTGGTGGTGGTAGCCCTCCAGGTAAAGGAGGAGCTGCACCTTCAGGTAGTGGAGGAGGAGGAGGAGGGGCACATGGCAATGGAGGAGCGGGTGGTGGTGGAGGAGGAGGAGGAGCACCAGCACTTGAAGATGCCGGACCCTACAAAAAAAAAAGTTTTGGAATAAGGAGACAGGAAGATAAAAACATGTCAACCATGTGCTATTAATATCACGTAAATCTTTTTTCTTTTAAATGGCTGCCAGAAAACAACTGAGCTCAGAGAGCACCAAAGACAAATCAGATAATTTTCTCATCCTGGGAGGTCTTTGGTGCTCTCTGAGCTCAGTTGTTTTCTGGCAGACGTTTCATTAACCAAACTAGGTAACATTATCAGTGCTCTGAAATGAGGGGTCCTTGGTGCTCTCTGAGCTTTGGTTGCTTCCTTAAAGGCGTTTCGTTAACCAAACTAGGTGACATCGTCAGACTAGATGACGTTACTAGGTTTAGGTAAGGAAACATTTGTACGAACACAACCAAGCTCAGCAGAGGTGGTATTCAGCAGGTTCTGACCAGTTCTGGAGCACCAGTAGNTCTCTCTCTCTCTCTCTCTCTCTCTCTCTCTCTCATTTTGAAGACAAACTCTGCAACTTTTTCATCCATAAGATATTTGGAATCAAAAAGCTGTTGCATGCAAATTCCTGAATCCTAAATCAATTTCACTATCTTGGATCTGGACAGACAGATATGACCAATTATTTTGAAAGGTGTCAAAAGCCAGACATCAAACAGGTAAACTAAGTAGAGATTTATTGTTGTAGAAATAGGCAAAACCAAAAAGACTGTGATTTATGTTTGTTTGTTTTAAAATTCACTAGTCACAAGTGTGAATACTCTTCCACTTTCTGACAGATTTAAGTGAAGAGGAACAAGTGGCAGCAAGTATTTTTTTTTTAAAGGCAATAATATTGTTTTAGAATTTATGTCGGGTAAATTATACATTAATTAGTAACTTTTATTCATCCATAAAGCAAAAAATTTCTTTGGAGTGCTACTATTATCGTTCCCTTAGCAAGGTGAGACGGAACTAATGTAAATCTTTAAATAAAGTTTTATATTTGGATTACAATGTAAAAAGTTGGAAATAGTGCTAAAGAGGAACTATTTTGGATCATACTGTTGACCCAAACGAAAAGAATAACAGGTGGTCACTTTAATTTAATGTTATTAATGTTAATGTTATTTTGCTGTCCTAATAAAACTAGATAAAAAACTCCAGCTGGTCCTGTTAGGAAAACAGCATGGATGATTCTATGTGACTCGCCAGGAATTAAGCTTAACTCAAATGTAACTTTAGCTTACTTTATATATTTAATGTGTGAGAAACAGATTAAATGACATTAACTTGTCAAATGTGTTTATTTTAAGTAAAATTATGGCTAGGTCTGATCTACTGAACTGATCAACCTCCATAACTGTTATATCCTGGTCATTTATGCCAAACAATTGAGAATATATTTATTATTTCTTTATTCTTCAAATGTAGTGTGTGTGTGTATGGTGCATACATTTGATTAATATTTGTTATTAATATATGATTAACACTATACACATACATGTCCATACACACAAAAACAGTTGTATATAAAATGCATGTGTGTATGAATGTGGGGGATTGGGTGAATGTGTACACACATACACAATTTTAATATATTTCTAACAACTCTACCTGTTATACTTTTTTTATCAAATGTCATATATCATTTTTTATTGATGGTTAATGACACCAGCTTAAGGTATACCTTCCATTAATCAGTTGGCTTTTCTAGAATCTATCTATCTATCTATCTATCTATCTATCTATCTATCTATCTATCTATCTATCTATCTATCTATCTATC